ACTTGAGACAGCTGGGAAGCCCCAAACTACAGTCCGTAGGGTCGCAGAGTCAGACACAGCTGAAGCGACTAAGCACACACGCACAGGAGGTCTTTGGAGTGCGTTGAGCAGAAGAGTGATATGATGTGATGTATTTTAAAGGAACTCTCTGACTGTGGGGTGGAGAATAGACTGTAGAGGATTAAGGGCGAAAGCAGAAAGATTAGTCAGAAGGTTGTTGCAAAACTCCAGATATGAAATTGTGGTATCTTAGGTCAGGATGGTTAGCCGTGTGTGGAGGCAGACAGCAGTGCTCTGCCAATGTATTTTGAAGGGACAGCCGGTAGGATTTGCCAGTGGTTTGGATATAGTGCATGAGAGGGGAGTCACGGATGTTTCCAAGGTGATTGGCTCCACTATCTGTAAGAACAGATGTGGACTTTCCTTTTAAAGAGATAGAAAAGCCTGCAGGAGAAACACTTTGGTGCTGGTGGGCAGGCAGGCAGTGAGAATTAGGTATTGAGAGTTCTGTTTTGGACATCTTAAAAATAAGGTGATACATCCAAGTGGAGGTGTTAGGTAGGCTCTTGGATATACAGTAATCATAATGGCATTTGGAGCTGGAGATAAATTCAGGAGTCATCAGTATATAAAAGATACTTTAAAAAATTAAATAAAAGGTACTTAAACTCATGAGAGGATGACATCACCTGGGATGTAGAGGGGAGATGAAAATGCAAGGACTGATTCTTGGAGCTCTTAAAGGTGTAGCGAATGGAAAGAGGAGGAGGAACTAGCAAAGGAGACTGAGAAGGAAAGTCAATGAGATAGGTGATTAAGAAGAGCAATATGCGTAAGCCAAGTGAAGAAAATCTTTCTTGGAGGAGGAGTAAGTGATCAGCTTTGTCCGATGCTGTGGATAGGTCAGAAGGATAAAGATCAAGAACTGACCCCTGGATTCCATAGCATGGATATTACTGGTGACCATGACAGGAGCTGTGGTGTGGTGAGCATGAAAGACTGGATTAGATCTAAGAGAGGGAATGCAAAGAGGGGAAGTAGAGATAACTGTTTGCTTACACACTTTTTTAAGGTCTTTTTAAAAGGAAGTGGAACAATGGAGTGGCTGTCAGAGAGTGATGAAGAAAACCATTATGGACTGAATGAATTATGTTCTTCCCAAATTCATGGATTGAAGCCCTAACCCCCAATGTGACAATATTTGAAGACAGGGCCTTCAAGGAGATAACTGAGGTTAAGTGAGATTATGTGGGTGAGTTGTAAATTAGTAGGAGTGGCATCTTGATAAGAAGAGAGAGACACTAGGGATACATGTGCAAGGAGGAGGCCACATGATGACACAGAAGGTACCATCTGCAAGCCAAGGAGAGGCCTCAGGAGAAATCAACCCTGCTGGCACCTTGATCTTGGACTTCCAGTCTCCAGAACTGTGAGAACACAATTTATATTGTTTAAGCCCCCCAGTGTGTGGTATTTTAGCGGACTAATACAAAAATCAAGAGCAATTTGTTTTTTAAGATGGGAGGGAATTCCCTCACATTCCTGTGGTTAGGACTTGGCACTCTTACTGTTGAGGGCCCAGGTTCAATCCCTGCTCAGAGAACTAACATCCCACAAGCCCAGTGGTTCGACCAAAAAACAAAAAAGAAGATGAGGAATATTGTAGCATGTTTATTTTCTGAAATGAGCAATCCACTAGAGGGAGAAATTACTGTAGCAATGTTCTTGGGTTGTAGAGATGGAATGAGAACTCATATAAAAGTTTACTTTTGATAGTATGGGTAGATTTGGGTAGATTTGTTGATATGGTGGGAAGGTTGGGAAATTCTCTTCTGAATTAGTTTTCTTGGTGAAGTAATAAGCAAGGTCATAAGTGGAGAAGGGAAGTGGGTACAAATTGCAGTTTGAGGAGAGGTATGAAATCATTTTCTAGGAGAGTGGAAGAGTAAACAGACTAGAGAGATGTTGTCAAACTATTGGGCAATGCTAAGTCCATTGAAATCAGTGGTCTTTGATTAAAGTGAGACTAGTCATCATAACATTTTTGTTTTTTCTCCAGGATCATTCAGTTGGGTTAGATGGAGATCTAATCTGGAGTTTTTCCAGGGAAAAAGGACAGAAGGATACTACATGCAAGAATACAGTGATGTTCTGTAGAGTTTAAGCTGAGTAAGGCTGAAGGAAAGGACGTGAGGCAGGAAGGGAACAGTGGGAAGGTGGTCACTATCCTGGGGACTCTAGGAAGGTAGGACAACTAGAGTCAGGTGGGTGAGCTGGAAAGATGGGAGGTTATGGTGGCAGGATGCTTGAAGGTGAGATTATGCAGAGGGAGCAGGTAGAATCAAGGTCTAGGGTATGACTGATTGTAGAGTTTGGGAATAAAGAATATTAGAGAATTGGTCACAGAATTACAACCATTATGTCTACATAGATATTGAATTATTCTAAGACTGATGAGGGGTAGTACTGGAGTAGCAGCAAGTTTGATGCTAAAATCTTCAAGGAATAAGTGAGAAATGACTCAGGGCTCTGTTGATGGCTGAACCACATACAGGTCACGAGTTGTATAAAGATGTGAGCTTCAAGGCTGGCCATTTTTAAAGGGGGAATAATGGTCTAGACCACAGGACTGGAAAAGGTCAGTTTTCATTCCAATCCCAAAGAACGCTCAAACTACTATCACGCTAGTAAAGCAATGCTCAAAATTCTCCAAGTCAGGCTTCAGCAATACGTGAACCATGAACTTCCAGATGTTCAAGCTAGCTTTAGAAAAGGCAGAGGAACCAGAGATCAAATTGCCAACATCTGCTGGATCATCAAAAAAGCCAGAGTTCCAAAGAAACATCTATTTCTGCTTTATTGACTATGTCAAAGCCTTTGACTGTGAGGATCACAATAAACTGTGGAAAATTCTGAAAGAGATGGGAATACCAGACCACCTGACCTGTCTCTTGAGGAATCTGTATGCAGGTCAGGAAGCAACAGTTTTAAGTGGACATGGAACAAAAGACTGGTTCCAAATAGGAAAAGGAGTACGCCAAGGCTCCTTGGCATATATTGTCACCCTGCTTATTTAACTTATATGCAGAGTACATCATGAGATAATATTTTATGATCTTTTTATTTTACGTCAGGTTACTAAAGCATAACTTACATNGGTATGCTGCGATTCATGGGGTCGCAAAGAGTCAGACACGACTGAGCGACTGAACTGAACTGAATGGTCTAGAACAGGATTATCAACAGCAGCATTATTAACACTTGACCTGGGTAATTCTTCGTTGTGGGAAGCTGTTCCAAATTGATCATAAGCAGCATTCCTGACTTCTCCCCAAAAGATGCTAGTGGCACCCTGATCCCAGCTTTGGCAAGAAAAAATGTCCGAGACTTTACTAAACATCCTTGAGGGACGAATTCACTCTTGGTTGAAAACCACTGATTTTAAAGCAGCAGTGCTGAGCTAAAAAACTGTTACCTGACCTCTGGGCCCAGTGATTGATTATAAAGAGTGAGGAAGAGCAAGTAATATTCTCAGAGGATTACAGAGCCATCAGGGTTTCTGGGAAGATCAGATTTTGGTCAGAGACAGGGCTGGAGGGAATCTTCCCAGAAAAGGGTGAGAATATAGCATCTTCAAATTTACAACTACACTGTGGCTACCTCCTTAGGGAGGAAACGTATTCCATGATGACCTGACAGTCAATGTGTTTTGTCTGATTATTTCACTTCCTTTGCTTGAGCCAACTCATCACTCTAATGAGTCACTTCTTAATAGATCTTACAATGCAGACTTCAATAATTATATTTAATACATGCTGTGTTTTTGCTATATAAGGAATCAGATATCCTAGAAGAACACATTGAATTGAATGTGAACACACTGACTATATACAGTGAACACCCTGGCAGAGCTGGGGCACCAGTCCTATGTGCTTCGTCTCCCAAGAATTCTCTTCCTTTGAGCTGGCATGCTCTGGGAGCCAAAGCTTCTAGTTAATTTCCTAGATATGCAGACAAAAGTGAAGATGACTCTCTAGAAGACAAGGCTGTGAGATTTGAGGACGATGAAGGTGTGTGGATCGCCTGGCATGAGTACATCTGTAAGGAATTTATAAGGTCCTAGTTCAACAGCATTCCCTTTTATTTGCTAGCTACGTGTCTACCCTTGACCAAATAGTATCCTTCTAGGCTCTGGGGGCTATGAGATGAACATGGTGTAGAGGGGAAGTGGGGGACCCCCACCTAAACAGCAGTATCATATGATAATCCATTTAAGGTGTGCTAGCAACACGTGGACATGAGGAAGTTTTTATTCTTTGAGGGAAACAAGTATCTAATGTGTACCTTGGGGAAATTTTTTTAAAAGTTATGTATCAAAAGTTAAGGAACTAAATTACTACCATGAGCTCTAAATGCTAATGGCATAGGTACCTCCATGCCTATACAAAATAGAAGGTAGCCTCCTTGGTATAGAAATGACACTTTTTTTGAGGGGGTAGGCCTACAGTTCATTGAATTAGATTTTGCTATTTACAACTGAGATCACATCTACATATATTTTGTTAGTCTACATGGATACATTATTTCTAACAAGTTTAGACTTACGATGAATGGGCTCAGTCATACAAAAACACGTGCACACACTCATACTAATTGTCTTAACAACAGCAGTGCATACGTTATACACCTCCTATAAGGGCAGTTTTGATTACAAACTGCAAGTTTCAAAGATCGATCTGATTTTGAAGATGATACACACTGTGTGATTCTAAAATCTATTTTAGTCATTTTGTACAGTAGCTATCTTACTGGACTACACTACATATTTTTTAAAAGGACACTGATGAGGGGCACCATCTGGTATTTAACTTAAACCAGATAGCTGATTACCTCCCCCTCCCTGCAAAGACCTCTGGCCAAGAAGACAAATGTAATGTGGTCTCTGGTACCCGACTGCCCACATGTACCATCAGTGAATGACTCACAAAGAGATCCTCGGATTTGAGGGTATAACATAAGGCACTTTGTTTTTAATTCTATCAGTTTCTTCAGAATTAAGGTCTGTGGTCCTCTGTGATCTGAAGCCGTGCTGGACACAGCTGTGACCATGGACCCAGGAAGCATCAGAAGGCCACCGTCCTCAGCAGACTCCACGGCCCGCTCTGCCCACCTGCCCATGTGCATTCTGACTTCTCCGTAAACTTCCCACAGCACGACCAGTGGGGACGTCCTGGGTGGCCTTTGTGTCCGTGGCCACAGCCTAGGTACCCACCTGCATGGTCCAAAGAGAAGAGGGAAAAACCATTAGAAGGAAGTCCAGTGGTTACCATGGAAATTAACACTCCTGGCAATATTCAGACTCATGGGTATTTTTACATCTAAAAACAACCCAGTGAGAGGAACAAGCTCTCGGATGCCTCTGTAGCTGGGAGGACTCTAAAGACAGATGACAGCAAATCAATTAAAGTCAACTGGAGTTGTAAGAACAGTGTTACTTTAACATTCTGTGAACTTAAGGAGAAGAACTGGTTTGGATTTTAACATAACAAAATCTAAATAAAAGAGAAGGGCAGAATGCTAGATATAAACAAAATAGATCCTGAAGTGTTTCTATGCAAGTTTACAAGAGCCTATGTTAAGGCTCACCATATGAGTTAGGACAGGACAGAAGACTGAAAATAATTAGATTTCTTGCCTGGATGCTGACCTTTCTGCCCACGTTTCCTTCCCCCAAGAAAAGAGCCAGACTTCGTTCAGTTGAATTTATTCATCTGTTCTCCCATCCCTGCCTTGTCTGGAATTTCTTTAAGGTTTCAAAAGGAACAGGATGGGTTTATGTTTTTGACAGTGCTCACGCTGTTGGAAAGGGTACAGACTGAGACTGACCATCCCAGGAGAAGCACAGGGCTTCTAGAACCAGTGAACTGTATCAAAACTAAAAGCACTCAGAACTTTTCATCTTGCCATTTCAGTTTCCATAACCAAGAAGCTTTAAATGAAACTTTCAGAACTGGGATACATTCAACATGCACAGACTACATTCCTAGGAACAAAGCCTGAGTCTGAGTACCCTGACCCTGGTCGCTGTGGTGCTGATCCCACTGCTAGGAGGCAGGCGCAGAGGGACAGCGAGGGCTTTCTGGAGCGACTGGTTCTCCTTACCTGGCATGGTGCCTCCACATGCGCAGCGAGCAGTTTTCTGGCCTCCGCTGGAGCAGAACGTGCAACAGTGAAACACGCCCGGGTGTGAGCGGTGCTTTTTCCTCACGGTCACAGTGAATGGCGAGCCCTTCAGTGTTCAGACCAGGAGAAAAGAACAGCCGCATGAGTCAACAGGCATGTGCTGAGCATCACACAGACTAAACAGTTTAAGTCACAGGCCCTGCCCCTGGAGGGACGAGGACAGTAGACGGAAACAGTGACAGGGGGGTCAGTAGCCCTGGGTTCTCAGCTGGACAGGGCCAGATACAAATGCAGTGAGAGGCGTCAAGGAGTCTGTGCTGCCGCCCCGGCACGCAGACGGCCGGACACACTCACGGTGTTCGTCGATCGGTCGTGTCTGACTGTTTACAACCCTGTGGGCTATAGCCCGCGAAGCTTCTCTGTCCATGAATTCTCCAGATGGCCACAGCCTAGGTACCCACCTGCATGGTCCAAAGAGAAGAGGGAAAAACCATTAGAAGGAAGTCCAGTGGTTACCATGGAAATTAACACTCCTGGCAATATTCAGACTCATGGGTATTTTTACATCTAAAAACAACCCAGTGAGAGGAACAAGCTCTCGGATGCCTCTGTAGCTGGGAGGACTCTAAAGACAGATGACAGCAAATCAATTAAAGTCAACTGGAGTTGTAAGAACAGTGTTACTTTAACATTCTGTGAACTTAAGGAGAAGAACTGGTTTGGATTTTAACATAACAAAATCTAAATAAAAGAGAAGGGCAGAATGCTAGATATAAACAAAATAGATCCTGAAGTGTTTCTATGCAAGTTTACAAGAGCCTATGTTAAGGCTCACCATATGAGTTAGGACAGGACAGAAGACTGAAAATAATTAGATTTCTTGCCTGGATGCTGACCTTTCTGCCCACGTTTCCTTCCCCCAAGAAAAGAGCCAGACTTCGTTCAGTTGAATTTATTCATCTGTTCTCCCATCCCTGCCTTGTCTGGAATTTCTTTAAGGTTTCAAAAGGAACAGGATGGGTTTATGTTTTTGACAGCGCTCACGCTGTTGGAAAGGGTACAGACTGAGACTGACCATCCCAGGAGAAGCACAGGGCTTCTAGAACCAGTGAACTGTATCAAAACTAAAAGCACTCAGAACTTTTCATCTTGCCATTTCAGTTTCCATAACCAAGAAGCTTTAAATGAAACTTTCAGAACTGGGATACATTCAACATGCACAGACTACATTCCTAGGAACAAAGCCTGAGTCTGAGTACCCTGACCCTGGTCGCTGTGGTGCTGATCCCACTGCTAGGAGGCAGGCGCAGAGGGACAGCGAGGGCTTTCTGGAGCGACTGGTTCTCCTTACCTGGCATGGTGCCTCCACATGCGCAGCGAGCAGTTTTCTGGCCTCCGCTGGAGCAGAACGTGCAACAGTGAAACACGCCCGGGTGTGAGCGGTGCTTTTTCCTCACGGTCACAGTGAATGGCGAGCCCTTCAGTGTTCAGACCAGGAGAAAAGAACAGCCGCATGAGTCAACAGGCATGTGCTGAGCATCACACAGACTAAACAGTTTAAGTCACAGGCCCTGCCCCTGGAGGGACGAGGACAGTAGACGGAAACAGTGACAGGGGGGTCAGTAGCCCTGGGTTCTCAGCTGGACAGGGCCAGATACAAATGCAGTGAGAGGCGTCAAGGAGTCTGTGCTGCCGCCCCGGCACGCAGACGGCCGGACACACTCACGGTGTTCGTCGATCGGTCGTGTCTGACTGTTTACAACCCTGTGGGCTATAGCCCGCGAAGCTTCTCTGTCCATGAATTCTCCAGGCAAGAATACTGGAGCGGACCGCCGTGCCCTCCTCCAGGGACCCTCCTGACCAGGAATCGAACCTGGGTCTCCTGCATTACCGGCAGACTCTTTACCATCTGGGCCACCAGGGAAGCACCAGTAAACTCACCCGTGCTTTCAAGTCACTGACTTCGGTCTCCATCTCCTCCATTCCTGAGCAGTCTAAGAACATTTGTGGTCCCTTCCCCAATTTCTCAGCCACACACTCCCATCCCTCAGATCCTAAGCCAATTCATTTCTTTTCATCCCTCCATCCTGGACACAACTGTTTACCCATCCACTCATTCTAGGTCGGTGAAGTTAGATGAAATGGAGGAAGATTAGGCATGTTGTTAATAATTCTCAGATTAGAAATACTTATTTCCTTTAAGGATAATTTTCATCCTTGAATTTCTACCCTATGCTAAACAGTAAATATTTAATGAGTGTTGCTATCTGCCTGTTCCTATATGAGAATCACATACCATGCAAAAATACAAAGCAGAGAGGCTAGCACCTTAAAAGCCTTTCAGATGTTAAATCTCTCTTCGTTTAAAGAGTTTAGTCTTTTTTTTTTTTCCGGGCTATATGGTATGTGGGATCTTAGTTCCCTGACCAGGGATCAAACCTGTATTCCCTGCATTGGGAGTGCAGAGTCTTAACCATGGGATGGCCAGGAAAGTCCCTACAATCTGTTTTAAAAACAACTTGGGAGTTCAAACATGTGGTTTCAAATTCTGATTTTTCTACCCAGGTACTGTGTATTGCGGCAAGTTTGTTTTCTTGGTCTAATTGGATGATGAGCCTTATGTTTGAGTGGTTAGAAAAGTGAAATAATGTTTGAAAATATATCTAACCTATCTGGCATCCTGTAAGTAGGCAAGCAGCAAGTGGCTACTATGAGTCTTCCCAGGGCACAGCCCAGAAGCCTAACACATCCTGATACTCTGTGGTGTTTCTTGTCCCTGCCAGTGTTGATTTCCGGTTGGGGGAAACCCTCTGGCAGCTTGTATGCCAGCAGAGATTCTGCTGGACATGTTGAGTATAACTCAATTTTTAAAAATTCATAATCTCTACACCAGAGAAGTGTTAAATATATCTGTGGAGGTGATGTAGTAACCATGGTAACAGAGAAGCGCGTGTGTGTATATATATATATATATATATATATATAGAGAGAGAGAGAGAGAGAGAGCGCATATATATATATGCTCACACACATGTATACATATAAACAGAGTAGAGAATTATCTGGCAAATAGTTAGGCAGATTATTGACTGATCAGTTACAGGAGAGGGCATAACTCTCCCAGTGGTATTCCAGTAAGTCCATGTCTGGTCATAGTTTGAACAAAGCCAGAAAATCCTGAGTGAGGTTATATTTCTTGCATGTGTGCATACTCATCTGCTGGTAGATTGCCCACTGTGATCAAGGCATCTTTCCCAAATTAAGAGCTCCAATAATCCAACTGGGAGAATGATAAAATACAGGCATAACTGCTAAGAGGTGAAGTAGGGATAAAGAGGTTTTAGGATCACCTGTATCCTCTAGTAAGAATAAGAGCTGCAAAACTGGGGCCCTTTCTAGAGTGAGGTGAAGTAAGAAAGAAGAGAATCCCAGTCAATCCCTCTACACAGCTGGTCCTGTGTGAAATGTCTCCACGTTCTAAGATGACAAAACCGAGGGGAGGAGGGGGCAGGGTGAAAGGTCAGGGAAGTGTAGGCAAGGCCTCACTTACCTGCACGTGCTGCTCCTTGACACAGACCAACACAGTATAGGTGCCAGGTTCCTTGGGTGTATAGGAAACATAGTATGTCCCATCCTTGTTATCATGGACCATCGTTTTGACAGGACTGTATAGAAACGGGAGTTCAAAAATACCACTCATTCTCACAAAGCCTGCATCAGTTGCCTGCTCATTTAGGATGTAAACGCTATACCATACAGCCAATGTTAATTTTAAATGTCCCCCAAGCAGGATGTCTTCTCCTTGCTCGGAAATTAACTTCACAATACAAGGTAACATAAATCCTCATTTAATCTGACATTCAGAAGACTTCCTGAAAACATCAGTGTTCTCTCTAACCAGCTTCTGTCGTACCTCCTGCTCTTCTTCCTCCCTCCTCCATCCTCCAATCCTGAAGACTTCGCTTATAACTTCGCTCCCAGCACAAATAATAAGCATGGGGCTGAACTTTGAGGAGGGCACCATTCAGTCTAACACAGTATATTTTGCAGTCTATTCAAAGCTTGGGATAAAGACAGTCTGCGGGGGCAGATGAGACCTTTGGGAGAGAATCAAATAGGAGCCTAAAACCCACACAAGGAATTGCATCTGGTCCACGTGGTCCTATGGCGCTTATTAATGGCATCACGGGGGAGGTAGGCTGGAACTACTGCAGTTACAGCCCCGTGACTGCAAAGAACCTGGGATTTCCAGGTCCATGATGCCTGAGTGCATGATACAAACCTGTCTTTCTTATCTTTAGGGACTACTGTGACTTGAACGTTGTCTCCTCCCCTGCCCATGCTCTCTCCTGTTGCATCCTTACAAAGCACGGTGAAAAAGGCTGGCTGTTTCTCACGGGCTCTGTGAAGATCTGTGGAAGATAAACACTCAGTCCTCAATCTCAAAGGTCAACCGTAGTGACGGCGTCCCCAGATCAGACACCATCTTGCTTTTTCTGTTTAGTACAAAAGGTCGTGGTTCTGGTTTCCTCCCTTTCTTTTCTCTTCCTGTCTGTTTCCTGGAGCATACTTCTTGGGAGTCACTTCTGGTAAGCCTGGTTCTCTCTCAGCCAGCAGCAGCTCTTGGATTGTAAAGGATCCTGGATCTTAATTTCAGCCTTAAGAAAGCTTTGAAAAAACTCAGGCTTGACATATGTATTCAGAGAATAAAAGAGAGGCTGTGCTGTGCTGTGCTGTTGTGCTTAGTCGCTCATTCGTGTCCGACTCTTTGCAACCACATGGACTGGGCCCATCAGGCTCCTCTGTCCATGGGGATTCTCCAGTCAAGAATACTGGAGCGGGTTGCCATGCCCTCCTCCAGGGGATCTTCCCAACCCAGGAATCAAATCCAGGTCTTCCACATTGCAGGTGGACCCTTTACAGTCTGAGCCACCAGGGAAGCCCCCAAAGAGAGGCTGATAACCCCAAACTACCCTCTCTGAGTGACAGATCCTGCTAGAAGAGGCAGGAGGTACAGGTAACCAGCTCAGACTCTTCATGCCTGAAGTCCTCTATGGCATGGTGGCTGTGCCTAGGCAGTGGGGGGCACATTCAATAGCTACAGCCTCTGGCCCAGGGCTTCCCTGATAGCTCAGATGGTAAAGAATCTGCCTGCACTGCAGGAGACCTGGATTTGATCCATGGGTTGGGAAGATACCCTGGAGAAGGGAATGGCTACCCATTCCAGTATTCTTGCCTGGAAAATTCCATGGACAGAGGAGCCTGGCGGGCTACAGTCTATGAGGTTGCAAAGAATCGGACATGACTGAGCAACTAACACTTTCACTCCACTTCTGGTTCAGAAGACAGATGAAATAGGCTTTTTTACCTGGGGTCTGTGAACTATTGAGGCCTTCTGAGGGGTGAAGAATCTCCTAAAATCATATGCTCAAACAAGTGGCCATTTTCTTGTAGAGAGATCATTCTCAAAGGGATCTGTGACCTCCAAGCAGGTAAGAATTCCTGTGCCTGGGTCAGGATGACTCTAGAATACAATCTTCCTGTGAGAACTGATCTGTGAAATAGGTTTGAATAACGTGCTTCCTTTAGGAAGAGAACACCATGGTCAAAAGAAATTGTTTCTCCCCCTACTGACTGAAATGCCTACCATATTCTTTTCAATGCCAGTATCTGGCTTCCATGAACCAGAAAGGGCATCAAAGAAGGCAAACCATCATCCCTTCCTCCTCACTCCTCAGAAATTCTCTTCAGAACCATCCTCTCCAAACAAGCCATCCTCTCTGAACAGGCAGGATTTCACGCTACCCTGAGGTCTATGCTGTTATGTCTTACAGGCACTGCCTTGGTTCTGTCACCTGAGAGAAATGGTCTGATCCTTGAGTTCCTTGGTTGTTAGCTACTTTTCTCAACTGGAAAAGGGTCAAGCCTCACCTCTGTCTGGGATCTTAAGTGCAACCTGACCAGAACAAACCAGAAAGAAAAGGACACGGGAGGGATCACCATCCATAGGATGGGGATGACTCTCTCCCTAGCTGAATGAAGGCTGTAGCTGAAAATGCCACACCTCTTTGACACCATGTCCTGCCGCTGCCCTTTCATGCCGATGGGAGATGTCGCCCTACCTTCCCCTTGGAGGACACATTTGGCTGGATCGACCTCTTTGGTGTTGATGGCCCCGTAAACTTCATAGCCACGGCACAGGCCTGCTTTCTCCTTGGGAGAGAAGGCTATCTTCTCGTTGACTCCGGGATGGGCACTGTATTCCACTTTGTTCAGCTTGGTGAGCCGTTCCACCACCACCCCCTTGGTGATGAGGATCTCCAGGTCGGAGCCGCTGGCCAGCAGGTGCTCGGTGAACTCCACTCCAGTCCGCATGTCTGCCAGCAGCTGCTCCAGTTGTGCCTTGTGCAGCTGCAGAGAGTTTTCCTTCTGGACTCGGATGTCTTCCAGCTGCTTCAGCAGCTTGTCCCGATGCTCCTCGATGGCCTTGATATAGCCCTCGGAGAAGGTGCGGATGTCGGTGGCTACGGCCTTCACCCGCTCCTGCAGGGCGCTGTTGGTCCCTTTGATCTGTGCCAGGGCCTCCTCCAGGGCCTCCATGTGGGGCTGGGTACCCCTGAGCAGCTCCCGCACGGAGTCCCCGTGCTTGTGAATAACGTTGCTAGTGAAGTCACAGGGGTGCTCCCGATGCTCCCCCACCACGCAGTCCCGGCACACAGGCCGGTCGCAGAGCTCACAGAACAGCCTCAGCTCCTCTGCAGGGTGAGCAGGACACAGAATGGGCTTCCCGATCTGGCTGTAGCCTTTTAAGTCTTTCAGGTCCACCATGGTATGGTAGGTCGTTTTCTTCTGCCGCCTAGAGGCAAAGGCACGAACAGAAAATGAGGGGATGAGTCTAGCAAGGAAACAGTCCAGCAGTTTTAAGGGCATGGGTTCTGAAGTCCAACAAATCTGGGTTCAGTTCCTTGTTCTAACCTCTTACTAATGAGTCTCTAGGATTCCAGTTCCTCCTCTATACACTGGGGCAATACATATGTGAAAGGGCTGCTCTATGGGATGAAATGATAGTAGGCTAGGGCTCTCTGGCTTGGTGCATGACTTTGCAATGCTAAGGCTACTTCCCGGGACTTTCCCCAAGGAGTTCATGTGTCAAGTTTAAGCAAGAGCCACAGCCTAGTGCTACAGCTAGAGGGGAGAGTTTGGTGGAGACCAGCAGCGAGATGAGACCTGTGCCAGATGGCTTAGCAGTAAACTTCAGGCAGTTAAAAAGCAGCTAGCTGGGCACAACAGAGTCTCCCTCAGCTTTCATCGAACTCTCTGGGAAAGCATTTCCTTTGATCAATGCCTCCGCCACCCAAAGCAGCAAGCTAGAATTTTGTAGAGGAAAGTCATCAACATTATTAGAAAGAGTAAAATCAGTGGTCAGTAGAACCAAAGCTCTCTTTTAATTCCCTCTTTTTATAGCCCTCTAGAAATTCAGGGAAATCCCCAGAAACCACGGTGACTGTCCAGAGTTACACCATGTGTTTAGTGTTTTAGCAACGTCAAGCTTACATGCCTGTTCTGGCACCAGCAGAGTGGGTGTGGACAAAACAGGGTCAGCTGTTGAGCTGGCAGCAAAGTAGTCATCATTACAAGGTAAAAATAGAAGGACTGAAGACTGCTAACTTGTTCTGTTGGTGAGGCCAGAAAACACCTCGAAGGCAGAACTTAAAAAGCACTGTAGCTAATCCTGAAACATTGGCCATTTCTTATCGTGATGTTCTGGAATGGGGGGAGGTGGTCTGAAGGCACAAAATGACTTCCTGTGACAAACTGTTTACTAAACAGCATAGAAGACATAATCCCCACCCCAAGTCCACCTCACCGAGTTCCAGGGTACCTCAGGGTACAGGGCAGAGGTGGAGGTGCTATCCCACCAATCAGCACCTTATACTGGGAAGGCGACAGAGATGAGTAGAGAAAACACCGCAGGCAGGCAGATGATTTGGATTTTAAATTCAATTGTTACATACTACTTACCAGTTATGGGACCTTGGCATATCACATACTGCTGAGCTTCAGTTTCCTCCAATAATAAATAGGGGTGAAAACAGTGCCTGCTTTTCTATGAGTTCCAAGGATCAAATGAGATTGAGGGCAGGGGATCTGCTATCATACTCTTTCTCTAGCACCCTGGACGAATGATTGATGAGCCAAGGAAACTGGGTAAGAACTTTGTAAACTGAAATGGACCCTGCAAACCTCTGATGCTATTATTACCATGGGTATTATATAAAGGCTGCAGAATTTAACTACTGCTCTGGAATATCTGTAATCACATTGTATACTGTTCTCTGACTTTCCATCGCATTTGAGCTTTCCTTTCCATCAGCTCACCAAGGGATTTCTCTGCCTTGACACCTCTTTTATACTCCGCTCTCAAGCCACACCAGGTGGGTATCCCATCTTTACCTATGAGCCTGGCAGCAGAAGTGGCAGAGATTGGCTTTGCAGGTCTGACACCTCTTCTCCACTTCCCTGTCGCTGCACAGGTCACACACCAGGCCCTGGCCTTCCCCGCGCAGACTCTCCAGCATCACATCATTCATGGCCAGGTGGTCTATGGTTAAAGCCTTCACACCACCCACGGGTAGGTCCACCTGAGCATCACACACCGGACAGAGGATGCCAATCTGTGGCTGCAGAGCGCGGGGCTTGAGCTCCCGGAACACGGACCCCTCAGAGCTTGTGTCAGATTCTGCCCCTCGGATGTCCACTACTGAGAAGGGTTCCAGCTGCTCCAGACAGGTGGTGCAAACTGTGTGCAAACAAGGCAGGAGCCGGGGGGCTTCGAAAAGCCCCCTGCACAATGGGCAGTGAGTTTTGCCTGAGTTTCCAGCTGCGGTCCCACTGGGGAGTTTGCCCACGAAGCCCAGCAGCGGCCTCCTCTTTTCTGCCATATTCCCCACGTTTGTGCTCAGGATCAGAAAAGGCCCTGGGCAGTTCTATAATGAAGTAGCAGGTGATTAGGCCCACCCAGAGAGACAGTTTCCAAAACGTGTACAGAGACCGCGGGGACTCTCGCTTTGGCAAATCAAAGGGCAAAAAGGAAAAAGAGTATTCCTCAAAGGAGCCACCCACAGATCTACTCAGCACGGCCCCCTCCTTTGCAAGGCATCCCATACCAGACACGCCCACGCCCTCCTCTGCCCCCCAAGTCCTCCTCCCCGGAAGCGCTTCCAGCTCTCGGTCTCCAGCTAATCCTGCTGTCGACTCCTGGACCCCTGCACCTCTATCACCCTCTGCTACCCCCAACCCCACCGCCGGCCTCACTGGTCCCACGCCGGCCCCGCGACAATTGCCACCCCCGCCCCCGCGTGATGCGCTTGGGGGTCCTCCGCTCCTTCCTTCCACCCGGCCCTCCGCGGAAGGCACGCGGCGGACCAGGGAGCTGCGAGCCCCCGCCGGCTTCTCGGTTGCCACCACCTCCCCACCCTTCGGTCCGAGGCGCTCGACGGCTCCGGTCCCGCCTCGCACCAATCCCAGCCCGGGGCTACTCAGACGACTCCAATCACCGTCAGAGAGGGGCGGCCGTGGCCGCTGCGAGCCCCGCCGCCCTCCAGAGTGACACCAGCAGCACCCAATAAGCTTTGGAAATTCCACATCTTCGCCGGTCCTCTCTGGGGAGGGGCGATAGCCGGGGGCGGGGCGGCCTCTGGGCTTGGGCCTCGGAAGAGAAAAAGGGTAAGGCTGTGAGTGAGCGGCATAGTATAGCCAGCGTCACCATTTTACGGCGACTGTCTCCCTCTCTATGGCTCTGGAGACCAGGGAGGTCAGAGGACAACTTAGAAAGCTGCGCTGATGTGCCACGGGGAAGGCTTCCTTTGCGCCCTCGGATTGGTCCCATGAACCCACCCTGGGGCCTCCCATTGGTGACTGGGTCTGTCAGTTGCCCCAAGCTCCGCCCAGGGCTTGTCTTGAGTTGAAGGGGGAGGTGTTTTCTTGGTTTCCAAGTCCTCGGAAGCGCCGGATGGCGTGTTATCCTTGGCTGTACTGTGAACCTGTGAGTTCCCTTCTGGGCCTCCCAGCTTATTTTCATTCAGAAGTCCTTGAGGCCATGCGTGCGGGTTACCAGAGCTTGTGGAAGCGGCTCGCTGGATCCTGGCCTTTTCCGGGCCAGGCTGGTTCCGAGGACCCGTCAGGGAGAAGGGGGCTTCGAAAAGCCCCCTGCACAATGGGCAGTGAGTTTTGCCTGAGTTTCCAGCTGCGGTCCCACTGGGGAGTTTGCCCACGAAGCCCAGCAGCGGCCTCCTCTTTTCTGCCATATTCCCCACGTTTGTGCTCAGGATCAGAAAAGGCCCTGGGCAGTTCTATAATGAAGTAGCAGGTGATTAGGCCCACCCAGAGAGACAGTTTCCAAAACGTGTACAGAGACCGCGGGGACTCTCGCTTTGGCAAATCAAAGGGCAAAAAGGAAAAAGAGTATTCCTCAAAGGAGCCACCCACAGATCTACTCAGCACGGCCCCCTCCTTTGCAAGGCATCCCATACCAGACACGCCCACGCCCTCCTCTGCCCCCCAAGTCCTCCTCCCCGGAAGCGCTTCCAGCTCTCGGTCTCCAGCTAATCCTGCTGTCGACTCCTGGACCCCTGCACCTCTATCACCCTCTGCTACCCCCAACCCCACCGCCGGCCTCACTGGTCCCACGCCGGCCCCGCGACAATTGCCACCCCCGCCCCCGCGTGATGCGCTTGGGGGTCCTCCGCTCCTTCCTTCCACCCGGCCCTCCGCGGAAGGCACGCGGCGGACCAGGGAGCTGCGAGCCCCCGCCGGCTTCTCGGTTGCCACCACCTCCCCACCCTTCGGTCCGAGGCGCTCGACGGCTCCGGTCCCGCCTCGCACCAATCCCAGCCCGGGGCTATTCAGACGACTCCAATCACCGTCAGAGAGGGGCGGCCGTGGCCGCTGCGAGCCCCGCCGCCCTCCAGAGTGACACCAGCAGCACCCAATAAGCTTTGGAAATTCCACATCTTCGCCGGTCCTCTCTGGGGAGGGGCGATAGCCGGGGGCGGGGCGGCCTCTGGGCTTGGGCCTCGGAAGAGAAAAAGGGTAAGGCTGTGAGTGAGCGGCATAGTATAGCCAGCGTCACCATTTTACGGCGACTGTCTCCCTCTCTATGGCTCTGGCGACCAGGGAGGTCAGAGGACAACTTAGAAAGCTGCGCTGATGTGCCACGGGGAAGGCTTCCTTTGCGCCCTCGGATTGGTCCCATGAACCCACCCTGGGGCCTCCCATTGGTGACTGGGTCTGTCAGTTGCCCCAAGCTCCGCCCAGGGCTTGTCTTGAGTTGAAGGGGGGAGGTATTTTCTTGGTTTCCGAGTCCTCGGAAGCGCCGGATGGCGTGTTATCCTTGGCTGTACTGTGAACCTGTGAGTTCCCTTCTGGGCCTCCCAGCTTATTTTCATTCAGAAGTCCTTGAGGCCATGCGTGCGGGTTACCAGAGCTTGTGGAAGCGGCTCGCTGGATCCTGGCCTTTTCCGGGCCAGGCTGGTTCCGAGGACCCGTCAGGGAGAACTTTGGACCAAGGTCTAGCTTTGCCTTCGTGTGGCACTCACCGGGAAGCTCGAATCCCGGTTCCCTGGGGCTTGAGAAGCTCTTGTTTCGTCCGTCGGGGCTAGAGGTGCCGATGACTAAGGAGTTGTCAACCAGAGTTCTACAGTTTTATGTAAGAGAAAGAGGGCAAGTTTGTCCTGCTGTGTTTTTTTTTTTTTTTTTTTTTTAGTCAGAGAGGGCCCATGACTGGTCACAATGGTATAGTGGGAAGATGTCAAAGTAGGATAAGAACTCTGTGGGCTCAGAGTAGTGGGAAGATGAACACGTCGGACATCCTTTACTTCACAATTTCTCTGTCTTCTTTAAGTGTTCTTAGAAGGAGTCTTCTGATTTGACTGTATGGGGAATTTGCTACACTTGGCATCTAGGACCTGTACCTCCACAATTCCAGAAATGGTAACACTCTGGCTTCTTACCTCCACTTGTTCTTATTATCTTAAGACCGACTAGGATGCCTGATTATCTCACCGCTTGCTTTGTTCATGACTTTCCCTACTTGATTTGCACCCAGTGGGCAACTGTCTCAATGACGTCTTCATTATCCATTTCATGCTATAGGCACAGTGCCTGGAGCCTAAGCTTTAAAAAATATGGAATCTGAAACAAATGAACAGAAATTTGACTTTGAAATATGAAAAGAAAACTATAAAATGAAAGTCGAAATGTTCAGCCATTTCCAAAATATGTCAGTGAGTCATATGCTACATTTATATGTGAATTACATAGAATTTCCAAAAGTAAGCACATCTAGGGAGGTCTTAAAATAGTCCTTACCTGGTTTTCTTCAGCTTCTTGTCCTTCTCCATACCTACCGATTCAGATTCTGCTTTCTTCACTCCAGTATGCTGGAGTAAGTCACAGAAACTGTGCAGACTTGGGTTTGCCATTTATTCTTACTCTGAACTTCACCTCAACTCTCCCTGATGTCTGGAGATGCTTTACTTCATCTCTTATTCATGCTCTCTTATGTTTCCCATGGTAGATCTTCCAGGCTTCCCTTGTTTAAGAAGTGCTTTTGAATTTACCTGTATATTATCTCCTTTAACCTCAACTGTATGAGGAAAGTCTCAAATTGGTGGCTAGCCCAAGGTAGAACAAATGAGACTTGAACTCTTATCTTATGATGCCATGTTTAAGAGTCTAGACCAATCACCTGTAGCCTTTTCCTCCCCAGCTTCTTAAGCATTGAATCACTTATAAACTCAGCAAGGATCTGCCTTTAATTGAGTGAGAAAAGCAAGTCCCTCACTTTTTGCTTAAAAAAAAAACTATGATTCGTCACAACAACTCTCAGACATCTGGCTTCTTTTTTTCTATCCGAAGGCTAACCCCATAAGATTTTTGCCCTTTATTCCAACCTTTCCTGCCTTCTCAAAACATTGCTGTCCCTACATTTTCAATCAGTCCTTAACTAGCACATTCTTCTACCAAATTCTCCCTTGACTAGGCTGCCTTTCAACTTACTTACCTTTGTGACCCTCACCATTACATTTCTCAAAAGACTAGTCCCGCTTTATGCTTTCACCCATTTTTTCCCTCTCCCAAAGTCCCTATTGAGACTTCGCTCTTGTGGATCACAAGTGACCAGTCACTGCCCTTTTCTCACTCAGGTCTCTTTAGTATTCACCATTGTTACGTACTTTTTCATCCTTAGAACTTGCTTCCCCTTTGCCTTTTTTTTTTTTTTCATTTATTTTTATTAGTTGGAGGCTAATTACTTTACATCATTACAGTAGTTTTTGTCATACATTGAAATGAATTAGCCATGGATTTACATGTATTCCCCATCCCGGTCCCCCCTCCCACCTCCCTCTCCACCCGCCCCTTTGCCTTTTGAAATATTCTACTCTCCTGGCCTTCTGATTTCTTGGACAGCTTCTCACATTCTCTGTCCTCAGTGGTTCCGCTTGCTCCACTTTATCCCCTGCCTTTACCTCTTGTGCAGTTGATCCTCAGATTCACACTTTCGGTACTGACCTCTCTCTTGAGCTTTGGTCATAGCCATTTATTGTAAACCTGTGCCCAAATGTGGCCCCATCACCTTAGGCCCCACATATCTTAAACTTCAGTGAACTTCTTTTTATCACTAATAAATTCTCTGAATTTTTCTGTTTTATTCTCTCAAGGATATTATTCTCTTGCCTCCAGCATGACACTTTATAGTGCTCTTAGCTTCCTTTTTCTTTTTCCATATCCAAGCAGGTACCAGTTTCTTTCCATCCCCACAGCCAACATCTTACTGTGGAGAACTTTCAGATGATAAGGACTTACTTTGAGGATTAAAATAGTTTCTGAATTATTCCTATCCTCTGTTTTTTTTTCTCTACACAGTTTTTCCAAATTAATTGTAAAAATATGGGACAAATCAACATTTCTAAAAGCTTCAGTAGCTCCCAGGCTCTCTCTATAGGGTGAAATCTGGATTCCTTAATAGATTCATGAAACTGACCTTTTAGTTGGACTTAAATATTGCCAAGCACATTTCTTAGTCTTATCCAATTTTCTCTTCAAAATTCTTCCACCTTTATTATTTAAACATACTCTTCACACTACTTTCTTGAAACTTTCCCTGTTGTTTCAGCGCTCCAGATTTGAGCTCCAATAGCTATTTTAATGGAGAAAGAAATGGCAACCCACTCCAGTATTCTTGCCTGGAGAATCCCATGGACAGAAGAGCCTGGTGGGCTACAGTCCATGGAGTCACAAAGAGTTGGACATGACTGTGTGACTAAAGAGAGAGAGAGAGCTATTTTTAAACAAATTTATTAAAGTGTAGTTGATTTACAGTATTGCATACAACATAGTGATTCACTTATATATACATTGTTTTTCATGTTCATTTTTCATTATGACTTATCACAGGATATTGAGTATAGTTTCCTGTGCTATACAGTAGAACCTTGTTGTTTGTCCATTCTATATATAATAGTTTGAATCTGCTAATGCTGAACTTCCAAGCCATCTCTTCCCTCACTCACCCTCCTCCTCGGTAACCATAAGTTTATTCTCCGTGTCTGTGAACCTGTTTCTATCTCATAGGTAAATTCATTTGTGTCATATTTTGGATTCCATATATAAGTGATATCACATCGTATTTGTTTTTCCTTTTCTGATTTACTTCACTTAGTATGCTAACCTCTAATTCTGTCTATGTTGCTGGAAATGGCATTATTTCATTCTTTTTTTATGGTCGAGTAGTATTCCATTGTACATATGTGCCAGATCTTTTTTATTGTTCATCTGCCGGTGGATGTTTAGGTTATTTCCATGTCTTGGCTATTGTGAATAATGCTGCTGCAAATATATGGGTGCATTTATCTTTTTGAATTACAGTGTTGTCTGTATATATACCCAGAGGTGGGATTACTGGGTCAGATGGCAACTTGCTTATACTTTTAGTTTTTCAGTTGTGCTACATTCTGGTATTAAGTGTTTTTAATTTATTATGTATATATATATATGTATATATGTGTACATGTACACACACACACGTATTTTTTGTCTCTTTGTTAAGATGAAAAACCCTTGGCAACCAATTCTATGCTTACATAGTAGCCATCTGATACAGACTTG